ATAAATAATAATAATGATAATATTAACGAAAAATATACTGAAAAGAAAGAAGCAGAAATTCAATGACACATATGATGACGACAGTTTTTCAATACATAACCTAATGAAACCAAACACTTCAACAACAATACAACCACCGAAATTGATGAAAAAGGGCACGCCGAGAGAATTTATTGACATTGCAACCAACACAGATACAATCGCCACAGAAACCAGAGAGACTCAAGAAAAGTTATACAATGATGCAAATCAACAATTAAATATGACATTTGAAGCATTTAAGGTAAAGGAAAACCAGGACAATATGTTTCAAATAATGCTTAAAAACTTTTGGCGCAACACATACAAAAGAAATGAGCCAACAAGAACACAAGCAACACAAACATTGAAAAACCAACGCGACGCAATGGTGTCAGCCTTTGCTGAAATGCTTGACAACAACAAACCACCAGAACCACCGCCAAAGAAACCACCAGACGAGGATAACAGCGATGAAGAAGAAAAGAAGTTCAAACTGACAAAAATGATACAAATAATGCTACACAACGGCGCTACAATAGCAGATATCATATTAAACTTATCACACAGCACAATTGCAACAACAATAAATATCGCAGATTTAGTCAATCAAATAACAGCAGGACATGCACAAAGTAGCAGTAGCAATTCATAAAATGAAGCTATTAGTGTTCATAGTTCTCCACCTATTACTGTTCATAGTTCTTCGTCTGAAAGTCCAACAGAAATACCAGCACCAACTGAAGACGAAGATGAAGAAGAAGAAAACCAACATTTCAATTTTGAAAAATTGAAATCTAAATAATATTATATATAATGGGTATTGGTCAAAGTAAAAATGATGCAAATAACAGTATGGAAGACATTAAGACTTTAAGAGTAGTTGAAAAAACAAGAGCAGATACTTTAATAATAAAATCTGTTCAAGAATGTGTGGCACGAAAATTAGAAAAAGAAAAATCTGACAAATTAATATATAAACTTCCTGCTTTACAACTTTGCAATGCTTCGTTAATTTAAATTGATAATATTAAAACATAATTAATATTATTAGTTGCTATCATAATCTGTCATTTCACTTTCGGGTAATTTTGTTGAGGCGTTGCTACACATATCATCTATTAAATCTTCTTCATCAACAAAATTATTTTGAAATCTTAATAATTCCTCGTCTGTTGGTCGTCTTTTTAACACTTTATAAAGTTTATGTATCCAAGAATTTGTATGAAAATTATAATTACCCCTACAACAAAATCCACCACATCTACATAGTTTCATTGGCATATTATTATATTATATTAAGTTAGAATATCTTTATTCATCATTTGTAATTTGAAATGCCTGTTCAAAATTGATATGAAACATTTTGTTAATGTCTTTTGAATTCATATTCACGTAGAAAGCAGAATATGGAGCAAAATTAACGGCTTGACGATACATATCTAATAATTGCTGTTTATCAACAATGGCGCTATTTTCTTCAATAAAACTCATTAGCTCACTGGCATTTTTCAACCTAAAAATATATAATGAACTGGCATTTAAACGAATGATAGGCGCTAAAACATTATATTTTTGTGTTGAACAAATTACACTTACTGCATCGTGCCTGCCTCTTGTAAATAATCCATGTAATAATTTACTATATCTAACAAATTTAGGTTCGTCTGCGTGGTCATCTATAACGATTAATATTGAATGCAGTTTCTTTATCTTTTTAGATTTCATATAATTAATTATTTTCTTCTGTCTTTCAATTACATTTTCTAAATCACTTGGATTATAATTATCAAAATAAATTTGTTCTTTTTCATCATCTACGTGCAATTCATCCCTGATGTATTTTTTAACTTCTGTAAATGTAGGGTCGTTATGGACGCTGGGTGAAAATATAAATATTCTTGCAAATGAATTTCTATAAACATTCAATATTAAATTTTGAATAAGGACAGTCTTACCGCCTGTCGAAGAAGCAACTATAATACTTCTAAATGGTAGTCTTCCGCCTGTGAAGCAACTATAATACTTCTAAATGGTAATTTTGGCACGTGCTCATATTTAGATTGTTTGAATTCATATTCAGTTATGTTTATTGGTTTTATTATTGGAACATCTGTCATAGTTGATATTAAAGATATATAGAAAATTATATTTAAAAATTAACTTGTAATTAATATTAAATGGACGTGAGGAACGAGCCTCGCGTGCTAACGCGACCATCATTTTTATGATATGCTGGTGGCGAATATCATAAAAATGGAACAGGTTTTCCATTGCTACAATCAATAAGCATTGAAGCTAATTAGTTTGTATCTCTCTCGCGTGTGCAATGAAAACCCCAAGTGCTGAGCCCTCCAATATTCTATTATGCATGAAAATAATAAGATTAAATAATTTAAATAATTATTTTATCTTATTATTATATGACTGTTATCCATTGCAATTGTTGTAAAACTTATGATGACAAATATTTATTTAAACATCTAAATTCAAAATATCATCAGAAATTTGTAGAATATAGATGGAATAAAGACGATACAATGAAAAAACTTTACAAGAAAAGAAAGACAGAAATGAAAAAAAAATTATCTTATTATTTAATATGAAAAGGAGTTATACAGATTATATTAATATAATAGATGAAATGGAGAATATAGAACAAGTAATAATTACTGACAATAAAATAAAAAAATGTTGTTATTATTCATTAGAAATAATTAAGTTAGGAATTCAATATCTCAAAAATAAAAATGTAAATATTAATATAAATGGGAAAAAAGAAAAAGAGTAAAGGCAAAGAAAGACCAACACCAGATATTGAAGCACGGAAAGAAACAGCAGAAAGTGTTAAATCAATGGGTGAAAGTAAGACTATAAAATGTGATAAATGTAATCACATAATGAATTTTAAAAATGAATTGACAGTAGATAAGAAAGGTGGAGTTAAAGTTAGTTGTGTCCCATGTATGTTTTCTTATAAAAAAACAGATAAAGATTTTAATATTCAGAAAAGAACAGATGGTGATATGGTTATTGAAACTAACGAACATTTGATTAATGTTAGTTTTAACAGGGACATAAGTTAGTATTTAAAGAGTAGATTTAACATAAATGCACTTTATAAATATATAATTAAATAAATAATTATCTAAATAAATATATAGTAATGTCTGAAAATGAGAATTATACTATTAATGATTTAATGAAGAAGATAACATTAATTGGTAAAAATATCAAAAACTTAAATGATATGATTAAATCCATTGATGACAAAATGAAACCAGTTGAACGCGAACAACAAAGCAACGAAGAGAAGGAGAAGATGAATAAGATTTTTGAAAAGAAAGGGATAGGCAGACCTAGCGGTGATTATGATACCAAGCGTAAAAAATACTGCGATATGTTAAATAAGGGACAAATCAAAAGTCCAAAAGAACAAACATTAGAATATTATAAACTAATTAAGGGCGATGATGATAAATATGTAATGGTTGGAAATTAAAATCTAGATATTTCTAATAATATGAATTTATTAGAATTATTTAGCAACAAGACCTATATAAAATACCTAGTAGTTTGATATTGGAAACTGTGATGAGTTTGACAGAAATCAGGGAATGATTTTGATAGAATCGGGGAATGATTTTGATAGAATCGGGGAATGATTTTGATAGAATCGGGGAATGATTTTGATTATAACCATGCTATGATTATAACATGTAAAATATTATATGTTATAAGTATATTCCAATATTTAATTTTATTTCTTGTAAAAAAGTATTTAAAGAAATAAACACTATATATATATATATATAGAAATGGAGTTTCAAAAACTACCAGTTGAAGTTATTAATAATATTATGTCCTATAAATATGGCAAGCCAGAATATATGAAAATAAAGCATAATCATAATGAAACATTGAAGAGAATACAAAGAAGATATAAAATTGACAAAACTGACATAGAAAGGGAAACAAAGCACTGTAATAATTTAGATGGTGATAAAGTAAAGAGACAAATATGTCAATATTATGTTTCTAGGAAGGTTCCATTAAGCATTGAAAGTATTGAAGATATAGTTATGAAAGAAGGGGATGAAATAGATAGCTTACTAGATAAGTATGTAGGATATGAAAGTTATAAAGCAATAATAATAGTTGATATAATTTTACGTGTAAGGTTTCATCATTTTAATTATTTTGAGGATGATGAATATAGCAGTTATGGTTTTGATTTTCATAGTGGTAGACACTTAATGGGTTCTATAGACCAAGATAATATAACTGATGTAATGGAATACGCAGTTGCAACAATATGTAGAAATATTGATAATGAAAGGAATACAATGAATATTGTAGGAGTAAAACACATAAGGTTTATACTAATTATTGATGAACCTGAATAATATAACCATACTATGATTATAACATTTATACCCTTATATGTTATAATTATAATGTAAGTATAGCGTTTTATATATTGAAGATAAAATCCTACAAGGCGGGCCATGCGCAACTCCGGAATATCCAAATTTCGAAAAATGATTAATTATTTGTCTTCTCATTGAATTATTGAAAATGTTGTTTCTTATTGAATAATTCTTCTTAAAATGATATATATATTTATCTCTTTTGAAAAAAATATATTTTCTAAAATATTTTGGAAAATGTGTGTTTTTGAAAATAAACATGTTTAGGTGTATTGAATTTTTCAAAAAATAATTCAATTTTTGTTTTGGTATGCAGTACTAAAAAAATATTTATCAAAATGTGTTTAGACTGTTTCAAAAAATGTTTTAAAATGGCTGTTTTGAGGCGCTTATTCAAAAAATGCAAAAAATCCTAGGGTGGACCCTAGACTTTTGAGTCCGAAAAAAGTTGCGCATGGCCTATCCTAACTCATACATGATCGGATCCATACTTCTCGCATATTTACACATACGTGTGCAAATTCGTGTGCTTTGGCGTTTCGAGGTCTGCGCCATGGTTTGTTCCTCCAGGATCCGCCTCGTGTTCGTCCCATGTCTTCCCAGTCTCTTGGGCCTCTTGAGGCTCTGGCTGATGCTCAGTCATGGCGAACACCATTAAGTCTTTGGTCTCGCCATTCACCAGCGGCCAAAGTGCGCCTCGGATTCCATTCGTGCAAATTGCAGAAACATCTGCATGCGGCCAAGGGCCAAGCGAACGACAGCACCCACCCAAGTTTCAATATCTTCTTCGGTGATCACGTCCTCAACTCTCGCTTCACTGATGTTGCAGATCACTGGCAGATTCTGCCGCGGCCTTCGCTTTGGGCATCAACGGCATCTTGGAACATCTTGAGCCAACACTGCGCCCCTGGGGTCCCTCATTCCATTTACATTGCCTCCATTTGCCAACTTCACGGGAAGGTTGCTGAAAAAGGTTGCCTTTGGGTGCTTTTGCAGCTTTCAGTGCTATGGCAAGGCTTGCGGCTTGGCCGTGTGAAACAAGGCTTGCGTCAGTTGGAAAGAGAACCAGGCACAGCGATTGCGAATTCCTGATCTTCCAGCGCTTTTGCTCCTGGAGCCAAACAGTTAAACATCACAAGAAAAAACCATGAGATGCGATGCGTGAGTGGTCCTCCTGCGATTGCAGGGACGCTGGGAGGGGCAGGCAAGGCCAGGTCTTGTGCTTGTTCACGCAGTCCGTCTGCCAAAGCCTCAAGAAAGCAGGGGCATCCTGTTTAAATCTTTCTGTTTGCGCTGTGCAGTTTGCTCATCCACACAAACGGCTGTGCCGATCTGAGACCCAGGCGTGCATCTCCTGCTGAGTGTCCATGATGGCAGCGGCGTCTTTGGCGTCTTCAGGCTTGTTCCATGGCATATTCTCAAATTCGGTGGTGCCGAAGCGCTTGGTTTGAGCTTTAAAGTCTGGATGCCGCATGCGATATTGGCGGGTGTCCAAAAAGACATGCTCCCCGTGCGACATCACGGCTCGGATGGTGGCATCCAGCATGGCCACTTTGGCTTGAAACTTCTCCATCTCCTGCTCGAAGAGCGCATACTGCTTGCGCATGGAATCCACGCCGACCTGGGCCACCAGAAGGTCCTTGGACTTTGCGGGCCCCTTCATCCGGATGCAGCCTGTGATGAACTCCTCCGTCGTAAGTTCGCCACTCTCATCGTAATCCAACAAGGCGAAGATTTGCCCAGGATCGTCCACAGGGAAGTCAATCATCTTCAGTTTGTTGTAGATTTCAGGCTTCTGGATTGCGGCTTCAACCTCCTCCAGTTTGAGCGTGCCACTGCCATCCACGTCAGCCATTTCGAAGATCTCTTGAAGCTGTCCAAACACTTGCTTTCGGTCCCTCTCGCGACGTGCTTTCAGCTTGTTCTGATCTTTGTTGGCCGTGGCCAAAGTGTTCTCAACCACCACTCCGATCATGATGCTCATCAAACCCAAGCTGGAGATGCAGACGAACACCAAGAAAAAGATCAACATGGCGGGCTGGTTGGCAACGACATGACGGACCACAGACTCATTCCACTGGTCCAGTGTCATGATCTGGAACAAGGTGAAAGTGGACCGCCACACAGTCGCAAAGTACACCTCGTGATCCCAGCCGCCGGACTTGGAAAAGTAGGGATCGTAGATCTCATCGTTGTGCCCGATCACTGTGGTGGTGATGATTGCCTAAGCGATTCGGCATGGGGCATCACACAACTGCGAGCGCAAGCCCAAAGCACAGGCGAGTGCAATTTGTGCAATGGCAATTGCATTTGTGAGCCTTGAGTACTTGAAGCCTAAATCCAAGCCACCAATCCAAGCATCAACTCGGGATAACGAGAAATAAGTGTCATTAACACACTTAGCTGACCTTTTCAACTGTTTGCCTTTTTGGTGTCCGTATTTGTGTCCTTCCAACCAGCAACAAGTGCATTTTGTTTGCAAGGGGGTTCAAGTCTGGTCAACGTGTTTTGAAGTACTTGATCCCGAGCCGTTAGGGATTGCCTAAGGAGCCCACGCAGGCGTAGCAGAAGAGCAGGGCCACCAGGCAGATCCAGCCAAGCGTCTTCAAGGACTGCAGCAGGCCGCTTACCATGAGCCAAAGTTCCTTGAAGAGTTTCAGCAGCCGCAGCAGCCGTGCCAAGCGCATCATCCGCACGAACCGAAGCATCGCCACAACCTAACTTTTCGACATTTCGACATGTCGACATGTCGACATGTGGACATGTCGACGTACATGATGGGAGTCACAGTGTCGATTCAGCTGATTCAGTCGGGCACCTAAGTCACCTGTACAAGTTGTGTCTCTGCTGCGCTGAGCTCCAGGCCCTGGCCGTACCACCAATGCCGAAAGGAATTAGGATCAATGTGTCCACCACGGACACCGAGACGATGATGAAATCCGCAATGTTCCAGGCCCGCGTCACCGGGTTTGTGAAGTACCGCAGCCGGTGGAAGTACAGGCGCAGCAACAATTCAAAAAGGAAGATGACGCAGAAAATCAGCTCCACAATGTACCACAGCCGATCGTCGTGTGCTTCTTGGGTTGCCACGGCATGAGCCACCGAGTCTGTTTCCAGCCCAATCGTGACAGAGTTCAAGGCAATCACAAGCCCCAAGCCTGAGCTGCCACGGAGCACGCAAGACCCAAATTGCCAAACCGTCGCAAGTCATCGCAAGTCATCGCAAGTGAGTTAAGACTTGGGTCTAAGACCCGCGCACATGTTGAACACCGGAGTGTCCACGAAGGGCTTCGGGGGCCTGACTTCAATTCCATAATCGTCGTTGTCTTCCTCATCTGAATCCTGGCCCTGGCAACATAGAGGGTCAACGCAAATGTCGCACATGTCTAAAGGCAGGCCTGGTTGTACTTGGCAACCAAAGCATCAGTGGGGTCCCTGTCGCCCTGCATAGCGCCCTTCAAGGACTCAGTTGCAACGAGGCTGGCTGATGGGTGGAACACATGTGATTCTCACGCAGTTCGGGTATCTAAGTCCCGAACTCCAAACCATGACTTTTTCGGCGGCGCAAGCTCTGCCAAAGCTTGCTTTTCAGCTTCCTCCTCTGCAAGCTCTGCCGTGTCCTTCGATCTTTCTCGCTCCATGGCAGCTGAGCCAAACTGCGAACATGAACTCAACGTAGGGTAGAAGTAAACTTTGGCTTCAGCTCGAAAATCACATTTTTTGAGCACACGGTCGCTACTCACTCTACGAAAGGGAGGGCCTACAAGGGAAAAACAAGCCCGGAAGGCCCCCCGCGGCTGGATCTTAGACGTCATGCCTACACGACGCCTGCGCAAAACCTACGTGCGCACAATCATGCGAAATCGGCCTGTCTCTTTCGAGTTCGGGAACGGCGTGTTTGTCGGACACGCAGGGCGTCATCCCCAGAACAACGCTTCACATCACTTACCCCTTCATCCAGCACGCGCCACGTGACGCGTGGACCTATAAAATCGTTGCCTACACGAGGCTTCACGACGCGTGAAAAACCTACGCACGCCTGCGCGGCTGTGGCCCTGCTTTTTGCCAATGCAGTGTGTAAAAAGCAGTCTCCGCGAAGATGAGAGCCTTCTCCAAAAGACGCTGCCCAGAGTGCTCTCTATCATGCCGGAAAAACCACGCCAGTCGCAAGCATGACCGCTGCTAACGAGGGAGGAGGAAGAGGAGGAGTGAGCGGACGATGACATGAAGAGTAAGCGCCTCACAAGAATTTGGAAAAACATGATTTTTTGAGGCCCGGCCACGGCCCATCGCCGACCCCCTTCCATTCCCAGGCTCGGTGCATTCTTGCGCTACAGAAGTCCCTTCTAAACTTTGTTTGGTTCTCGTGCTAGTACGCGTAATGAAAATGTCAACAGGTAATCATTAAGCTCGCCAGGCGGTTTGGTGACTATTGACACGTCACGCCTGCGCACTGCTGAGGCCATCCAACCCTGCAGCTAACAGCCGACAACTTTTCTGAACGGTCTCCGCCCCTCTTCGCTCTCACTCGGCTTACGCGTGCTCAGCCTTACTCAGCAGATGCTCTGCATGCCTCCCCGGCCGGGCGGCTGACTAAACGATTTGATTGGTCTCCCAGCTCAGCGAGCGCTGCCAGATGCTCCGCATGCGTCTCCGGAAGGGCGGGTGTCTCAATGAACCCGTGTGCCTTCGCGCTGCGACGCGGGGTCTGTTTTTTGAGGAAGCCTCGCACCAACGCGTTTTTTGAGACCAAAGTTCGTTTTTTGATGGCAGGGCCGCCACGTGGTGATATCTTCTTGTCGGGTCAGGCTACGACGCTTGGACAATCGGAGCTCTAAAACCCGCAGTTGTCTTGCGTGCGACAGCTTCGCATGAAACGGACCTTTCTTCAAAACTGCGCTCTCGCTGTGGCGCCGCGCCGATCTTTGAATTCGCGTTTTGCCGCAGAATTGTATGGCCAGCGCAGCAGTCTGTGAGACTGCCGTGCGTTTTTTGTGGCGGGCGCAGTTTGTTTTGCGCTGCTGCTATAGGATGCGTGGCAGGCGCAGCATGTTCATAAACGGCCCTGGCGGCTGACCGATTCTTTATACTGGGCTGGTCCCCCAGCTATGCTTCGCAGTTTGTTGCTTTTTGTTTTATTCCCCTTCGGGCGGTATTTTTCCCGAAAGCATCGCGGAGGGTTCTTCCGTGCGGAGACCTTGGACAAGTTACACAGAGCCAAGTTGCACAGAGCCAAGTTACTTAGAGCCAAGTTACATAAAGCCAAGTTACATAGAGCCAAGTTACATAAGAGCCAAGTTACATAGAGCCAAGTTACATAGAGCCAAGTTACATAGAGCCAAGTTACATAGAGCCAAGTTACATAGAGCCAAGTTGCATAGAGCCAAGTTACATAGAGCCAAGTTACATAGAGCCAAGTTACATAGAGCCAAGTTACATAGAGCCAAGTTACATAGAGCCAAGTTACATAGAGCCAAGTTACATAGAGCCAAGTTACATAGAGCCAAGTACATAGAGCCAAGTTACATAGAGCCAAGTTACATAGAGCCAAGTTACATAGAGCCAAGTTACATAGAGCCAAGTTACATAGAGCCAGTTACATAGAGCCAAGTTGCATAGAGCCAAGTTACATAGAGCCAAGTTACATAGAGCCAAGTTACATAGAGCCAAGTTACATAGAGCCAAGTTACGTAGAGCCAAGTGGCACAGAGCCAAGTGACACAGAGCCAGGCGGCACAGAGCCAAGGTTAGGTAGAGCTTGCGTAGAGCTTCGGCGTAAGCAGCTATGCAAGTTAGTTTAGGTTTCTAAGGCGCCGGGGCGGGAGTTTGATCGTCGCTCGGGATTGCGACCCTCTGCGGAGATTCGCGTGGTCGAGGTCAAAAGCTGGAGACTTTTTACGATTTCTGCAAGCCGCGCGCGACCCTCTGCGGAGATTCGCGTGGAACCTTTACGATTTCTGCGGTGCGTGCGCAACCCTCTGCGGAGATTCGCGTGGTCGAGGTTCAAAAACTGGGGACTTTTTACGATTTCTGCGGTGCGCGCGCGACCCTCTGCGGAGATTCGCGTAGTCGAGGTTCGCGTGGTCGAGGTTCAAAAACTGAGGCGATTTCTGCAAGCCGCGCGCGACCCTCTGTCGAAGCGCTCTCGCTGTGGCGCCGTGCGAATTTGTTGCTCGCGAAATGGCCTTTGGAAGTTGTCTCGTGGCTCGCGCGCCTGCTTTCGCAATCCCGCGGTCGCGGGTTCGATTCCCCCCTGGTCCGCGGCAGCTCCGGCTTGAAAATCGCAGCTTTTAAGTACAAACGTAGTACGCGGAGCGCGGAGCGTGCTCCTGCAGCTCCGGCTGGAAAATCGCAACTTTTAAGTACAGACGTAGTATGCGGAGCGTGCTCCCGCAGCTCCGGTTAGAAAACCGCAACTTTTAAGTACAGACGTAGTATGCGGAGCGTGCTCCCGCAGCTCCGGCTGGAAAATCGCAACTTTTAAGTACAAAAATAGTGCGCAAAGTACATTCCTGTGATTTGGTGTAAGGCGGGGCACTGAAGTTTGTTACTAGCGTGTACCTTTGTTTATCCTTTTTTTTGTTTCCGTAAGCGTCCGCCGACCGCGGGCCAACCAGAACGGCAACATGGACAGGACACAGACCAGGAGTTCGCACGTATGTGCGCAACATGGCCAAGGTGGAGGGTTTGACCGCAGGATGGCCACATAAACGGAGCCTCGGGCCAGCGGGCACGGCACACGTGCACACGGGGCAACCGGCACTCCGGTGAACAATCCACCACCAGCACTCCCTACCATATTGGAGGCGTTCACTCCTTCCAAACGCGCGTGTTTGAAGACTACGCTGCAGTTCTCGACAGAACCATGTGGGGCGTCTACGCGCAGACTCTTCACGGCCGCCAGCTCCCGACACTTGCGCGCTGTTGACACCTCGCAGTGCTGGAAGTCAGCACGGACGTCGCGGGCCGGGCAGCTCGAGAAGGCTGCGAGCGAAGGCACGGGTGGCAGGAAAGGAAAGCACAGCTGACCACCGCGCTCGAACAGCAGTGGCGCAAGACGCCTGCTGCTCGTCTGGGACAGAGCGAACTTTGGCCCTAGCAAGAAGCTGGATGAACTGTGCAGCCTCGGGGCCCCACCGTTCAGCAACGAGGCACACTCACCTCCCAGCACGTGCGTTCCTTGTCGCGCCTGGCAAAGGGCGGCGCCTTCAACCCTGGATGTGGGCGCGCCCGCTGGAGTCGAGGGCCGAAACGAGGTTCGCAATGACATCTTTTTCTCCTGCCATCAAGCTGCTCGACATGGACATTCAAGTCACGCAGAAGGGTGTGGGCTGTTGTACAGTCTCCCGGCAGACACGGGCCGGCTTGCTCAAGATCGCGAAGGGCTCCAGACGGTGGGCAAGCGGCGCGGCGGTCACCAGGGGCTACCAAGCGGGTGAGCCTGCCCGAGTGAACACTAGAGGGGCGCCGACCACCAAACGCGGGGAGGACAGTCCCCGTGACCACCTGTCAACTGCATTCATGGCTTTAAATCAAGGTCCTATTTGCATTTTTTGGAAAAGAAAGCCAGTTGCACGGGCCCGGTTGCAAATATCCAGTGTCGCGGCAGGATTCTTGGAGCCATGCGTGGCCCGTCGTGCCGTGGCACGTGCACATTGATGGCTTGAAGTGAGCAACGATGCCTCCTGGCAGAAGCTAGAAATGAATTTAGGACAGGCTGCTCTTGAATTGGGCAATCCCCAAAAAGGACTGCGGCCCTAGGCAAAAACACTCATCCTGCGAGGATGTGGAGTTGTCTGCTCGGCAGCGTTGGCAGCATCACACTGGCAAGAGCAAGAATGGCCTGCGAGAGCTCAGCTGCAGCATCTGTTGTGAGAGCTGGCCCTGGCAGCTGTTTCCTTGCTGTTTGTGCCTGCTGCAACTGATCCTGGAAGCCCAACAGCGACAACAGTTGGCGGGTCTCCTGGCAAAAGCCTGTACTTCGCCTCCGTCTTGCAAGGGGGGCGGCCTGTGACCCCGGCAGAAAGACATTACTGCGAACATTTTTTCCCCGCACCTTTTTGCGTCTTGCCAAGCGGTGAGACACGTGCTTATGGAGGAGTTCCAGGACACAGGGACAGTTGAGGGGTGGCGTGGGCCGGCACTAAAGCAGGGGCGGGGGGCCAAGAACCATCACCGAAGACGGGCAGAGGAGCTCGCTGAGGCCAGCGAGCAACAAAGGCGGTAGCCGTGGCCAAGCGGAAGGGAAGGGGGGCCTCACGCGCTCGAGCGCGAGCCAGGAGGCGCACGAAGGACGCAGCTTCCTCGCTCCACCGGCCTCCGATGTCCAGGGCGAGGACAACGAGGCGGCACCGGTGGGCCCGGAGGAGCTCCGGGTAGGTGCGCTCCTTCCGCAGGCGGGCTTCAACGAGCGCCGCGCCACGAATGCACCCACCACGCCGGCGCCGAATTCAGGGGGGACACGGGAGTTGTGTCAACAGCGAGCTGGGCGCCGCCCCGCAGCGGGAGACCGTTGGCTACGACTTCCAACCGGCGGTCGTCGATCGACGGCCAGGTTGAGGTCAGCCAGGCGGGTGACACCCGTGCCCCAGCTTCATGGCAGACCCGCGCGGCGGCTCGCTCAAGGACGCACCCACGGCTCCGCAGAACGCCTGGA